GTCCTAGAGATATAGGGTGGCCCAACATAGTTGGGACCACCCTATATCTACACCTCTAACCCTCCCCTAAGGGGGTAATGCATTGGTCGTCTATGCTCCCAGTCTACACTACCTCAGGTTAGAGTCGACCGCAAAGTGTTCACAGCTCTTCAATTTACTATGAGCTGTACGCAGAAACTTTTTATATGAGTAGTACGCATAATTGACACCTGATATTGAAAATCCTGCAAAAATACGCAAATAAAATTTCAGACATTAAGTTATTAATTATTTTATCATGACTTCTATATTATTTATAAAACCAAATACTAATGTGAAAAAAATAGAATTTATTCTAATTTACCATTTTTTTAATAATATTTTTCTAAAATTTAACTTTTTAAACCCTTCAATTAATATTAAATATTACAATGCGGTTAATGTACAGTAAATATATAAGATTAGCCAAATTTAGGCCAAAAATACGCAAACTAATTTTTTACATATAAAAATTTTGATAAAAAATACGCAATTTTGATGACCTAACTATGGATGGAAAATTCTTAGATTGTATGTAAATCAAAACTTTACTTTTTCTAATTTCACTATGATGGCGACGCATCTGTGTACCCTACCCCTGTATATATATTTCTGGGTCTTAACTCAAATGTGAGTTATATATGTGATGTCCGGGGTCCTGTATATACATGTCTACACTTCTACTGTATTATTAAATATTTCTAACAAAAAAATTGGCCCAATTCTCTGTTAGATTTATTTCAGTTAGATTCATTTTCTGTTAGATTTATTTCTCTATGTATATACATGTCTACTTCATGTTTGCTTTTCTACTGTATTACTAAATATTTCTAACAAAAAAATTGGCCCAATTTTCTGTTAAATTTATTTCTCTATGTATATACATGTCTACTTCATGTTTGCAATTTTACTAGGTTTTGCTTTATCTTTCAATTTTTCGTAATACTTGGCTACATAATAACCTCTAATGTGCATTGGGCATCTTCCCATTTTCCATTAGATTTATTTCTCTATGTATATACATGTCTACTTTATGTTTGCTTTTCTACTGTATTACTAAATATTTCTAACGAAAAAATCGGCCCAATTCTCCATTAAATTTATTACTCTATGTATATGCATGTCTTGCTTATTCCTTTAACTTCAAATGATAATAACAATTTTTTAAGTTCTATCTTTAACTTGTCTATTTTTTCTCTATGCATGTAAGCCAAGTTGGTTTTCTAAGGAATTAATTTGTAAATTACACTGGTTTACTTCATATAAAAGTTTCTGGATTTTTTCCTCATTAGCCTCTATCTGGCTTGTAATAAAGAAAATTAAGCATTAAACTTAAAAAAGAGAGCAAAGAAATAACTTGATGCTGGGACTCGCATTAAATGGCATAGGATCCGTGTAGTGGGATACCACATGTGATATAATTATATCACATGTGGTATCCCACTTACCCTAGATTATAGTACCACATGTAATCTAAATATCACATATAATCTGAATACCGCATATGATCTAAATATCACATATAATCTGAATACCACATATAATCTAAATATCACATATAATCTGAATACCACATATGATCTAAATAATGTAATCTAATTACCACATATGATCTAAATGATGTGGTCTAAATACCACATGTAATCTAACATTTTATTATTTCTTATATCGCTTTTACATTCTAGCTATATCTTTAAGCCTTTCTTGATATTCGTATTTTTGTGCTAATATACTTTTTATTACCACAATATAATCTAATTACCACACACAAATAATCTAAATACCACGCTATTCTTCTTGTTTCTGAGTCATTTGTTTGCTAAATTATACAATGGAGTTCTTGACCTTCTGTAGTTGTTTGGATACCTGGTTTATATCGAGGTACTGACCTCCTGCGCCTGATTGGGTGCTGGATTCTATATTGGAGTACTTACCCTTTGCGCCTATTTGGTTGCCTTTCTAGATGCTGAAATAGTGTAAAAAAAAATATCGTGTCAGGTGGCGCAGTAAATTTGCGTTTAATTTCGGCTGACACTATGCTATAATTCCGGCTGATCTTTTTGGAGTCACGATTTAAGAATCCAGCTTGGCTACACGATGGTGCCATGATGGTGTCATGGAACTGTCATGGAACTGTTGAGGAACTGGCATGGAACTAAAGTGATTCTATTAGTTGCCAATTCTGAATTAGTTTTATGCTAGCTTGGATGCCGAATCATTATATCCAAAGATCTGGCTGAAATTGTGGAATAGTGCTGGCCGAAATTATGGAGCGAATCTTGACTGCGCCTTACTGCGCCATAGTTACGTGATACTGTTCCGGTGACAGAACACCCTCCGTCATATAACATATTGGTTAGTTTTGGCTGGCACTATGATGACCGATTTTTGGTCACCCGATTTTAGGATGATCCCTTTGGGATCCACCATAGTAGCGTCATAGAAGTGGTAATGTATTAGTATAGTTCTATTAGTTCACCCCATATGCCGGTACATGTATGCCTATTTCATATCCGAAGTTGGAGATGCGATATGTATTATTGTGGCTGGCCCATCTATACCATTCCCGAGTACATATACCACATATGTCTTGATACATACCATCGTGATTAAGCCTTTATGCCACATCCGGATACATACTAGTGATAGGGTAGGCAAGTGCTAATATTTATATAATAAATTAGCACTTACCTACCCTTTTTCAGATACAACCGCTTGCCTTTTATTTACGATTTGCTCCAATTTCACGTCCCATGGTTGGAGGTGCGATATGTATTATCATAGCCAGCCTATTTATACCATACCGAGTACATATCTAGGAAGATGGGGCTTCTTCCAATATTTTATATAATAATTCCGAAGTTACCCCCATCTAAAAGTATATACCCGATTGCCTTTCTTCTTGATGGCTGGTACAAGTATGCCAATTTCGATTGCCGGTATAGGTGGTATATATTGATTCTGACTAGGCCTTCCATACCCAAGTACATATCTAGAAAAGTGTAGCCTTCTGCCAATATTTTGCGCTCTTACCTACCCTAGCTGTCATATCATATCCGGCTACATAGGATAAGTCTTCTTCCAATATTTTATATAATGATTACAGAGAAGACTTATCCTTTTGATGTATATCCTGTTGCCCTTCTTTTTCGATTCGTTTAATAAGTTCGCTATCGTTTCTTTTTGCATCTACCGAAAAAAATAAATTAAACATTTTCGAATTTTATAAAGTAATATAAACATTTTCAAACTAACATCATGCATACCTCAACTATTTCCAACCAAACTGATCGCACCGGAACCGCCCCAGCCCTCCGCTACGACGGCGCCAGCTATTTAGCCGGTGTTCCATCACGTAATGAGATCGTAGCGGAATATGATAACGGGATGACTGCTATACTCCAACAAAGCCTATCTGACAAGCAACACATACATTTTATGCCTACTGAAGTTAGTGATGATACCTCCGAATATGTAAATGGTATCTCCTCCTATATTTTGCGTATTACTGGTACTTTGATTAATGGACAAAAAGCAGTCGTAAAAATTACAGGCATTAAGCCCTTCTTTGATGTCGAAGTACCTGAAGAGATGCCACTATCTACATTTAAGATCAGATTAGTAAATATATTATCCAATACTCTCAAAGGTACATCAAAATTTGGGATTGAGAATATTAGTGCTTTCCCACTTCAAGGATATCATACAGAGAAAAAATTATATATACGTATTATTACTTGGAATCAATTTGACCGGTATAATGCGTTAAAGGCAGTTCGTGAAGTCGGTATCCGTACAGCTTCTGATGATCTAACCCCAATATATTATTACCGCAAAGTAGCCCGTGAAAAAAGATTACCTCTTTCAAGTTGGGTAACATTAAGTAATTATTTTCACGAATACATTCAAGGGGGTACTCATCTCTTCCAAGTTTCTGTGAATAATTACAATCCAACAAGTGAGGACGATTATAATAATCCATTATTCTCTTTGGCCCTTTTACGGGACCGGACTCTAGTTCTCACATGGGACATAGAGACATATAGTTCGCTTGGACTAGGTAAATTTCCTACTGCGCAGAGCGATGAATCTAACGTGTTCATGATTTGCATGTCAGTTCATTGGAAAGATGACCCTAATCCATTAAAACAAATCTGTCTCGTAGATGTTGAAACTGCGCCAGATCCTAACTGGATCACGATTATATGTGGATCCCAAACCAATTTGCTAAAAGCTTTCGCCTTGTGTCGGGAACTATTATCCCCAGATATACAAATAGGATTTAATGATTCTCAATATGATTGGCGATTTATTGTGGAGAAAGCTAAGAAGCTGGGAGTTCTCGAAAGGATGTTCAATCAAATGTCATTAAAGCCATTGAGCCTGGAAAAAATTACAAAATGGCAATACCAATATAACAAGATAAAGGTTAATGATATGCCATTTCATTCAAAGCATCTCAATACCCCGGGATGTGTAGCTATTGATGTCCGACCTTGCTTTATGAAATTATATTCTAAGGCCGAAAAGAGCAGTTTAGCGTTCTACCTAAACGAATGTGGGCTCGAAAGTAAAATGGACATATGGCAAGCCGAGCTGGACTAAACTATCAGGCATTGGGCGGGTGAAAAATCAAGCATGGATTGACAAAATGTTACACCGTGCCTGACATATTACCTGTTCATGCTTGATATTCATCTGTCCGTGCTTGATATTTATCTGTACGTGTTTGATATTTTTATCTGTTCATGCTTGATGTTTATCTATCACGTGCTTGATATTTTTATCTGTTCATGCTTGATGTTTATCTGTACGTGCTTGATGTTTTATCTGTACGTGCTTGATATTTATCTGTACGTGCTTGATGGTTTTATCTGTACGTGCTTGATGGTTATATCTGTACGTGCTTGATAGTTTTATCTGGCCATGCTTGACATTTTTATCCGTCCGTGCTTTATGTTTTTATCCATCTGTGCTTGATATTTTTGTCCGTCTGTGCTTGATGTTTTTGTCCAACTGTGTTTGATTTAATCCAACTATGTTCGATAATTTTATCTTTGTCAAAAATTAGTTTCTTTGTCAGCATAGGGT